TTAAAAAAACCTCTATCAAAATATCCCTACTGGATATTGTTGTACTGTCCTCAGGCATCCTGGGAAATGAAAACATAGAAAAAAGGCATATATTATTTATGCACGTCCCTCTTCTTCACAGGCACAGATCTCAGCCGACCTACATGTCAGCTGTTTCCATGGAGCTTTCATCTTTTTCCCAATCCCTATTTTGTATAAGAAGCATCAGCTCCTTTATTCTTATGTTAAATAGTTTGACTGCTATTGTTGTCTCATCAACAATACCTGACTTTATCTGTAGGATCATTTAAAAAACTTGCTGACCTGCAGTTTGTTTCCTTGAATGTAATGGTACTGTCCCAGGAGACATGAGATCTGCAAACCAAGCAGAGCTTGTGTAGCTGATACCTTGGAGGCCTGTTCTAATAAATACCCAGCTCTCTTGGGGATCACCAAAACAAAGCAGCATGCAGTATAGGCATCTGTGCGTGAATTTTCTCAGTGTACCTAAAGTCCATTGCTGTCACATTGCCATTGTTCAGTGCCCCTTTCTCCTTTCAGTTGTCAATATTTAGCACCAGAAATGACTTCTGACTTCATGGGAACCAAGAAGAGAGAGGATGAGTCACTGTTTAAACCCATAAGCACTGTGATGACAGTGCTTTTAAAGGTAACACAAAAGCTCTGATCTATGAGGTCTCAATCCTTCAAGCTGCTGAAGGCCTCCCATGAAGTGCTGAGCACCCACTGAAGTTGATGTGAGCTGAGAACACTCAGCATCTCTCAGAAGAACCTCTGTGAAAGATCAGGGTCTGAGGAAAAAGCTTGCCCAATCTGCAGGTGAAAGAAATGTAAATTAGAGTTGATCAGAGTTGTTCTAAAAATATTTTTTTCTTTTAAAATTTATTTCTCAATAGGCATGTGTGTTTACATCCACGAGACAAAATTTATCCTAACAAGTGATGCTATGAGCTATTACCTGTAACTGAATTCTATAGGGTCTTTTCTCAATAGCATTATGTCAAAAAGTATGTAGTTTCTGCGCTACATGTTCTTTTAATACTATGTTCCAAAAATTATTTTTAAAATGTTTATAATTATTGTTTTTTAATTTTGTTTGATATTATATAAATATCAGCTCATGTTCATTTAATTGACATTCAGAGTAATACATCAAAGTGATTTTAAATGTCATAATAATTTCATTTTAATAATCACTAGTGTTATATATTTCTATGAAAACTTTTAATATCAGTATTAATAGTGTAATCATCACTGAAGAGTAGATGATCTGTTTGTAATAACATAAAATTGCAGAGAAGACAAATTTACTACAAATCATATAAAGGCTATTAAATACGGAGGAACTAGATAAATTATTTAAGGGCTAGAAGAAAAGTGAATTACAGTGGGATGTATAAGAGCTCAGTTTGATCTATTTATTGACAAATTGAGAGGAGATGTAGTTATGTAGTATACATGCACCTTCATTGTAGAAAATGGGAGGCATTATTAGGTGTTTTTTTAATACAGCAAGAAAGGTGTAACAAGGAGGAGCAACAGCTGGAAATGGAAACCAGGCAAAAGCAAAATAAGAAGAAAGAAGACACACATTTTTAATAAAGAGGATTCTGAACCATTTGAGATAAACTACTAGAGGGAGCAGCAGATTCTCCATTTGTTGATGTCTTCAGATCAAGACCAGATGCCTTTCTAGAAAATCTCCTTTGGCCAAATCCAAGTGATAGGGTTCAGTGCAGGAGTGGCTGAATTCATATGATCTATGCCACCTGGAAGATCAGATTGGATAAATTTATAGGCACTGTTTGGGCTGCAGGCTCCCAGCAAAATAGAAGATTGCCCAGGGATAAGAGCTAGTGCTGAAATGCCACCATTCTTCTGGTGGGACATCTAGTTAATTACCTGCCGTACAGAGGTTGGTCACCCAGCCCTGTGGTGTAGCTGCTCCTGCTGTTTTTCAGTATTTTCGCTGACTCCCACTTACTAGACTTTCTTGCACCAGAAGTATCAACTTGAGCCTTAGAAGGTAAAGTCTGTTCTCAGTGACCACGATGAAAATCCAGAAGAATTGTAGTGATCATTTTCACTAGTGTTTCTGCCATCTGAACTCAGAGTAAGACTAGTCCTGAATGAATATATATTTCACATTGACACGAGAAAAATATGTTTGTACACTGACAGTAGGCTCGGTTAGCAACACTCCTCTGGTAATAACAGGGGCTCCTGAATGGAGGGAGAAGCAGAGCTCTCTGTTACTGGACATAGGATAAATTCTGAAGTGGAAACTGGGGCTCAGGGGTGTAGCATGACAGTTGTGAATGCATGCAACTGTTGGTGCTCAGCCTGAAGCACTATTGCTGGAGAAAGTATAGCTACCAAAGGGGAAAAAAGAGACACTGCTACCCCTCATGAACTTAGCAGAGAACTGGAGAGCAGGACTTGCCCACCAAGGTCCTTCTCATACTTAATGCCCATCCTGTCTGAGGACAGGAAGTACAGAGGTTTCACTGAATTCTCTCCAACTGCTAGCTTCTATGTGGGATGGGAAGGAGAAGCCACATGTGATGGGAAAGTATAGAGAGGAACTGGAGAGAAGCAGGGAGGGAGCAGGGGTTGCTCCTTGGGAATAAGGGGGAGTTGCAAAAAGGAAGGAAAGAGAAATGCTTTCGAGGAGGCATCACAGCAGGTGCTGAGGACAACGTGAGAAGAATCAGGATTCAGAACAAACACAGCAAGAAAAATGGCACTCAAAGTCCTAGCAAAATACAAGGGATATATATATATATAAATAAGGATTAGACAGGCAGGGGGAAACCTCTTCAGGGCAGGGGGACATTAAATGGGGATGACCCCATGTGATCCCACTTTCATGAAACAGGTTGGGCTTTACCTTAGTAGTGTGCCACCTGCACTTCCTCTTTGGCTAAGAAATGGCTAATTTTGTACTTCTTTCATCTGCGTGGAGCTGGCCCTGGAACCTACCCTCCACACCATGATTCAGCAGTTCTGACTAAATCATTTACAATAGGGCAAGAGGTAATACCAGGTTTGGGTATGGCAGGAGTAAATGATGGTCTGACATGAGGTACAGCTCATGTAATGAGGGATGATTAAGAGACATGTATATAAGTAAGTGGTGGTGTTGGATTTTTTTACTTGCAGCTGAGAATAGAAGTTAAGCTTCAAAACTTTGGTGTGCTTGGCAGGCCTCCTGTTATGCCTGAATTGCAGGAAAGAAGAAATGTTTGGGCTGGATCCAATTCAGGACTTAGGCACCTAGGTCCAAAATTGTGATCCTAAGTATCCCACTCAGCTGCTACGTAGTCCTGGCAATGTCTACCTGTACTTGTCATGCACCACTTGATTCTGGACTGCCCCAGGCACCCACAGCTCCTAGATGCGAGCCAGGAGTCTCTCCACCTATGTGCCCTGCAGGAGCCAAATGAGCAAGTGTGCTTGGAGCATGCCTAATGTGCAACAGCAGAATTGGCTCACTCCCAAAATGCAATCAGGGATGCTTTCTTTTAAACAGTGCAGTGTAGTAAGTACTGGTGCTGCCACCCACCTTGCATAGCATAGACTAATGGTGAGAGAACACACCCAGGAAGTACAAAACTGGAGCTGCAGGGGCTCCAACCCACATCTCCCATCTTACATGATAGTGCCCTAACCACCAGGCTTGAAGCACACTTCACCTGTCCTGCTGAAGCTGTGCTATTATAAACAATGAATTGAAGAACAAGTTGGGAGGGGGAGAGAGACTGTGTAGCCTAGTGGTGAGGGTGCTTTGGGAGCTCAGAGTCTCAGGACTCCTTATGTATTTTTTCCAACAGCTGTTTAATGGAAAGTGCATAGAGTCCTGCGAGCTAGGACCAGACTCTCAGCTGAGTGACCACTCCATTAGGCAACAGACTCATGGGTATGTGTGCTCCCTCTTTCCTCCAGTCCCCATGAATCCTAAATTCTTTGCTTAGGGTGCCTTTTCAAATGAAGCAGTGAGGCCAGTTCAGCTCTTGGAAGGAATGGATTTAGGCACATACTTTAGGGAAAGGATTCTGGGCTGTAGGCACCAAGTGAACCACAGCACCCGTGGTCTGGAGAGGGCCAGATTTCAGCTACAGCTCCCTGCTCAGTGCTGGTTGGCTTGGAGCCTGTTCTTTGTCACTTCATCCTGTTCTTCATCCCCCACCCATCATGTTGCCCCACCAGGCACCTAACCCTCCCCTGAAGATTTGACTATGGGACTAGGCACCAGTAGATCAGGTATTGGCATTATAGAGCGTAATGGTCAGGGGCTTAATTTTAATAGGATCAAGCCCTGCTCCTGTTTTCCCCTGGCACCACCCTTGCCTCCAATGTGGCACTAAGTGTGGATGAGATATTCAGAAAGGATTGATCTAGTCCTCCTCACTTGAGCAAAACCCATTTTCTTTTCATCCGTCACTAACTGAGCAAGGACCATCGAATATGCCACAAGACACCCGAGCAAGATAGAAGATAATGTTCCATTTTGCATTTTCAAACAATGACTGTACAAATATTAATAAATGGAACCTCGCAACTCCCACGTAAAGCGTCACTACTAATCATAAGGGAAGTGGCTCACAGAAGAGCTGTACTATATGGTCAGGGGCACAGCAACGTCGGGATGACATAGCTCACAAAGGCACCACCTGCAGTTTCCAGGTGAAATCAGTGAGAAGTCTGCAGGAGTTTCCACCCCTTCTTCAGATCTTGGGCTTTCCTGAAGAGACTGAGCTTTTCTTCATTTCTTCCTGTTTGCCTCTCAACTGTAAGGCGAATGGAGATAATATAATAATAGTGAATCAGAGAGGGGAAAGGACACTAAATTTGCACATCAGTTCACCTGCCAAAGTGTATGACTTGGATGTTGCATTGCTAGGACTAGCAGATTAATGGTCAGGGGCTTAATTTTAATAGGATCTAGCCATGCTTCTAACAAGGAGAAATGGAAAAGTCCAGGACTCTTGGTTCGGAGGCAATACCTTTTATTAGACCATCAAGAAATTGCAAAAAAATTATCTTTCTTTGCAAAATTTCGGGCTCTTGGGACATGGAATACATCTTTAACATGGGATCTATGCTGTAGCCGTGTTGGTCTAAGAAACCGACAAACCAAACTCTTGGGTTAGAGGCATGACTAACAGCAGCAAAAAAATAAAAGCCTTTCTTTGTAGACTTTCGGGTCCCCGCGGCGTCCCCCCTTCACAAACACATGGCCTTTGTAACAGCGGCGAGGCAGGGACCTGAGCCGCCGCCGCCCGGCTCCCGGGAGGGGGGAGCTGGGCAACACACTTCCTCGTCTGACAGCGGGACCGTCCCCGTGTCCCGGCCGGGCTTTTTCCTGACTTTGCAGAGGTGTTTTTCTCCCCGAGGCACCTTGCCGCTGCTCTCCGCGAGGGCCTGCCCGGGCTCGGCCAGGGGTGAAGGAAGCTGCAGTCTCCCGTCCCCAGCTCGGGGCGCAGCGCCGAGGCGGCTCCCGCACAGCCGCCTTCACGCAAGCCGTGCGACCCG